CCACGAAAGTCAATCTTGTCGCTTGAATGAAAGCAGAGTCCATGCGACTTGGTTCCTTGCAAGTAACGAAAAATGTGCTTCACCGCCGTCCAATTTTCTTGCTGCGGGTTCTACATGAAGCGTGAGACGTACCCCACAGCATACGCAATGTCCGGGCGCGTCGCAATCGTCAAGTGTATTAAAGCTCCCACAGCTTCACGAAACGGAACGTCGATCTCGGCCGCTTCACTGCTTGCGACAAGCCGAGTGCTCAAATCGACCAGACTTGTTGTGGCCTCGCACTCATGCATGCCGAAATGCTTGAGGACGTCGTTGGCATACCGTTGCTGGTGTGGTGAAGTCGATCTCACAAAATTGCTTGAGTGAGGGTCGGGCCACCGATCCACGTCCCAAAATTTGATTAGTGACTTTGCCACACCGGCACATCGTCACGCTGCCATCCAAGCCGTCCACCAGTTCGATGCCCAGTACAAAAGTATACTTGCCACTGTCGGTCATCTCGAAGCGCGTCTTGAGATCATCCCTCGTGTGTGCAATCTCATCGAGCGAGATGCCGGTCACCAACACGTCATCCACGTAAACCAGCACGAGCACACAGTGACCATCGACCACTTTGATGTAGAGACATGGGTCGAACGCCGACACTTCGAAACCGATGGAGCACACGAACTCGTCGAAGTCTCGTTCCACACGCGCGAAGCTTGCTTGAGACCGTAGATCGCCTTCACCAACTCCAAACAATCAAAGTCGCCATCCATCTCGACGCCTTCTGGTACCACTCAGTACACCTTCTCCTTCATCACACCGTAGAGAAAAGCTGTCACCACATCGAGTTGATCCAGTGGACAGTCGAAGTATTTGACGATCGCGATTACCATGCGTAGGGTCACGTATTTGACCACCGTCGAGAATGTTTTGGTGTCGTCATTGCCATATTCTGCTTGAAGTCCTTCGCAACGAGACGTGTCTTGAGTTTCTCGATCGATCCACTCGCTTCGCGCTTAATCTTGAGCACCTAATTGGTCCCGATAGCGCGTTGGTTGCTCGTCAACTTGGCAGCACAAAGCCACCGGAAATCGCATCGACTCGAGCTCGGGTCGAATGGCTTTGCGCCAGTGAACTTGATCAGGTTTGCTGGTGGTATCCTGAAACGTTGCAGGCTCAGCCAGATCAGTCGCCTCCACTGCATTTTCGCTTGCACGCCAGAAAGTGGGAGGCGTGGAGTCATCATCTTGATCGCTGATGTCCTCTTTTATCTTCTTCTTCGCCGGCATGGCTTGGCGCTTCTCTTCCACTTGATCGACTTTTAAGGTCGCGATCGAATGAGCTGTCCGGCGCACTTGCCTCCTCCAACCGAGGTATGAAGAAGGGCTGAATGCACAACATTGCTGCTTTGCCGGGTCTTTTGCTTCCCGGTTTGCTTGTAGTTGGTCGCGCGCACATCATTGTCGTTGATGTCGAGAAGCTCGAGGTCCAACGTTTCATCATCAACTTCTTCAATTGATGGCTCCATCGAAAATGCAAAAGATGACTCGTCGAAGTAGACATCACGGCTGATCGCCACTTGTCCGGCCTCGATATCGAACACGCGATATGCCTGGACACTTCTTCTTAGCTCATGAAGATGCCGACACAAGCCTTGGGGTACCACTTGAGACGCTTTCGTTCGGAGTCAAGATGTATATTTGGCACCCAAAAATGCGCATGTGCTTGACACTTGGCTTTGAGCCACACACGATCTCGAACAGCGTTTTGAGCGGGATCTTGGGCGATGGCAAATGATTCTTGATGTATATCGCCGTCATTGCCGCTTCAGCCCAGAAGCACTTCTCCAGCTTTGCATGGTGTAGCAAGCTGCTTCCGATCGTGAAAATGGTTCGTATCGCGCGTTCTGCGGTGGCGTTGGTCTGGTGTGCATACGGCACCGTGACCTGCTTCTCGATACCTTGATATTCGTAGAAGGTCTTGATCGAGTTGGTCGCAAACTCAGGCGCCCCATCATGCCGAACGAACTTGGTCTTCTTGCCGAACTGCGTCTGTATCTTGAGAATGTAGCTCCTGATAAAGTCTTCACTCTCAGACTTGGATCGCAGACAGAAGCCCTTCATGCACCCGCTTGCTTCGTCAACCACAAGCAGCAAGTATCTGCTGCCGCCGATCGAGATGTCGAAGTGCAGCAACTCGAACACACCATATTGACGCTTGTCATGGTTGGTTGGGAATGGTTTTTGGACCATCTTCCCTTGCTGACAACCGCGACACACACTTGGCCCAGTCGAGTTGAGAAGAGCCTTGGCTTCCTTGATCATGCCGGTGTCCACCATCGTGCGCAGAACATCGAGGGGTGCATGACCCATGCGCGCGTGCAAGTCGATGGTCCCGTTGCGTGTCGCTGCATTCGCCGGTCGTTGAGGAGTTCGCAGCCAGTAGAGTCCATCGACGAAATCCGCTGTTGCCACAACTTGCGTGAAATTCTTGCACGTTACTAGCATCTTGGACCCATCTAACACGACTTGGAACTTGCCACCCTTGTTGATCTGCGGCACCGAAAGTAGATTCTTGCTCATACTTGGCACAAACAGCGCGTCCTTAATTTCGATGGTGCGCTCTTCACCATTGGGCAGGATCACCAATTCCATGATGGTTCCCACACCCTTGATTGCAGCCTTGCTGCCATCGGCCATCGACAGCTCGTCTTCCACTCGCTCATTCAGGCTTGCAAACTTGGCCTTGGCCTTTCGTTGCAGATGATGGCATAGTAGTTTATGAAATCTGTTCATTCACAGTCTCAACGTACAAACACAACAATCGCCGAGTGAAGTCGGCGACACGGGCTGGTACGTCAGTATAAACTCCTACGCGGTTCGCCCCTTCGGGTTCAGTTGTGGCTTTCGCCTAGCTTATTCCTTACGACCAATCCTTCAGAAGCCTGCCTGAGCTCAGCAGCTACTAAACTTCTCTTTTCCTATGACCTCACACCTAAAGATGGAAGACGACGCAGTACGCGCTTTTACAGGTCACCAGGCGTAGTGTCCGCCCGACTAGAATATTATCGGTACCCTCGGCTGAAGCCCGCCGGCTTGTCCCTCGACAAGCCTTTCTACGGTGACTTCTGTTGGGTCATCGACTTGTCACTTGACAAGACTCAAAAAGTGCCGGCTATTGGGGCACTGGCTCGTCGTCGACGAGGCTCTTTCTTTCGCTGGTAGCGAGTGTTGCCCACACCGGGTCTCCCTAATCTCTTGGTGCTACCAGTCGAAAACTCCACAAGCTATGCCTCTCGAGGTTCGACGGCAGGTATAATCTAGCCCCCGCAGGGACTTACCTTAAAGTGTGCACGTGTTTTGGAACTAGATAATCATGCTCTGTATTGTTTTATCCCTTCTGCTATCGCTGAACTGTTGATTGGTCCTCTGTTCTTTTCCGTTTCCCTTCTACGTAAACTAAATGTAACGGATCCTCGTCAATCTTCTCGCACGCTGCACCACGCTCTATCTTCGACGACCTTCAATTCGACGACCTCGATATCGACGAACCCAGTTCGACGACCTCGACCTCGACGACCACCGATTTATTAGCGATCCAAGTATGTAGGAAGTTTACCACTAAATTCCTACATCACACCAGTCGAAGTATTTGACGATCGTGATTACCATGCGTAGGGTCACGTATTTGACCACCGTCGAGAATGTTTTGGTGTCGTCAATGCCATATTTCTGTTTGAAGCTGTTAAAGTCTTGAGAGCACTGGGAGAGTATACGAAGCTTGAAGAACGCTAAAGATGCCTACACCGCAAAGTGAAGACGACTTGTGCTAGAGAAGAAATGTTTGGAAGTGATTGATTTATAGGTTTTTCTCTCTGCCTACCCTAGACTGCATTCAATCACGTGGTGCATCTAATCAACCTGATTTACACGCGTCCAGTCATCCTACGCGTCTAATCATCTCTGAGGTAATTACCGACGTAAAAACTATCCCGTAAGAACTACGCTTGAAGTTCGGATTGTACCGGTAACCCTCAATACCGCTGTATCCACGACATTGCCTCGGGCTTATGCGTGGCCACATGCATCTTTTGACCGTCGAATTCGACTTGAAACTTGCCACCCTTGTTGATCTGCGGCACCGACAGCATATTCTTGCTCATGCTCGGCACAAACAGCGCGTCCTTAATTTCGATGGTGCGCTCTTCACCATCGGGCAGGATCACCAATTCCATGATGGTTCCCACACCCTTGATTGCAGCCTTGCTGCCATCGGCCATCGACAGCTCGCCTTCCTCCCGCTCATTCAGGCTTGCAAACTTGGCCTTGGCCTTTCGTTGCAGATGATGCATAGTAGTTTATGAAATCTGTTCATTCACAGTCTCAACGTACAAACACAACAATCGCCGAGTGAAGTCGGCGACACGGGCTGGTACGTCAGTATAAACTCCTACGCGGTTCGCCCCTTCGGGTTCAGTTGTGGCTTTCGCCTAGCTTATTCCTTACGACCAATCCTTCAGAAGCCTGCCTGAGCTCAGCAGCTACTAAACTTCTCTCTTCCTATGACCTCACACCTAAAGATGGAAGACGACGCAGTACGCGCTTATACAGGTCACTAGGCGTAGTGTCCGCCCGACACTAAAGGTTTTCGGTGCCCTCGACTAAGGCCTACCGGATCGTCGCTGAGACAAGTCTTCGGAAAAAGGGGTCTTCCCTTAAGTCTCTCCAGTTCGTCTTTGACGAAACTCACAACGGTCTCTTTGCTAAGGTTTACCGGCTCGTCGATGACGAAATTCCTTCTTTTTGTAGTAGCAAGCGCTGCCCAACCCGGGCCTTCCTTGACTCTTGGCGCTACCAGTCGGTACCTCGTCAATCTATACCTCTCGAGGTTTGACGGCAGGCATAATCTATCCTTCGCAGGGACAGTGAGTGTACGCATGTTTTGGAACTAGAGAATTATGCCTGTATTTTTTTATCTCTTTTGCTGTGTCGCAGAGCCAGTTTGAATGGATCTCTGTCCTCCCTAGTTCTGATACAAATTAAGTGATGAATCTGTCGTTCGATCTTCACGCATTCTGCACAGTAAACAGAGTTTGCCTACCCTCGAGTCGCCGAAACTTGTGTCGCCGACGCGTAGTCGCTGATATTTGAACTGCCGACTCCAATTTCGCTGATACCGATTCGCTTAATCCCAAACTGGTATCGAGAGGATTAAAAAGTCTCTGCACCATAGTTTTCTACCTCACGAGCACTCTGACATTATTGATACTTTTTGCGCATGTATCTCATGTGCAGTCAGACCTTATTGTTGCTAGTTCTTTGGGGACCTCACGTGCAGTCTAACGTGAGTGTTGATATTGCTGTTTTGTTCTCGATCTCTTGTACGATCTGATGTTAACGTTGTTGTTGTGTTTCTTCGATCTTGTGCGACCTGTGACTAGACATAAAGAGATCGAAGGACGCTTTTTTGAGACGAAGAGAATAGATCATTGAGCCATTTTGCCGCTTAACTTTTGCTTATAGACGCATATTGACTAGAGAAAAATGCTGATGTTGATATTTGATACACTTATCGTAGGCAGCAGCCTGCTTATCCTTACTAGATAGATAAATTGTAATGGAATTTGCTTTCGATTATTTCTACCACGTGCAATACGTAGTGTGATTTGAGAGTGATAGTCCGTAATAGCTCTAGTTGCAGCAACGTCTTGTACGGCACGATTTTCTTGTTTACAGCGTTTTCATAGAGGCTGCTGCATGTGTTCAACGTTGTTGGCGCTAACGGATAGACCTTGCTTGAGGTCAAGCGGCATGACAGACGCCCGGCCGAAGGCATGCCACATCAGGCACACAAGTGTAGCATCCTGGTAGTCCATTGAAATCGTGGCAGTCATGTCTACGTGTTACATAAGTTATAGAATTTTCACCTTTTGCATATGATGCAGCTTTCTCTACAAATCCTCTCACTCTTGTCATGCAGTGCTACCGCAGAGTGCGTGCCATACCAAGTAGTATGTCGTATACGATTGATCTTTGCAAAGCAAATAAACGTAGCATCCACTTCGTTACTTGACTGTAATAGAAGAGCACTCTGTTTATAAGCTCAATTCTCCATAACTGCTCTTGAGGTAGGCGAGGTGCATGGCAAACTTCTTCATTACAGCGACGAATAAAGTACCAGATGGATCACTGAGGATAGACGTTTAAGCCGTTTTACTGTGAGGGACTTTGACGGAGAAATTATACTAATTTGTTTACTGCTGCAAACATGGCTGACTTAGTGTTGACTGGCACTAACGACTGAATGCTCATGTTCTTGTGCGGTCTTGTTCTTGAAGTATACGAGCGTTAATTGGGGTTATATTCACTTAAATGCAGCTATGACTATGCATTTGTAAACTGCGCAGATACACTCCCACAATACCCTTAGTGGCTATTTAATTGTGGAGACTACTTTGCAGTGGTGTATGGCTACAATAAAAAATTAAGTGAAATAGGTAATAATTAACAGAGGTGCCGACCTCGTCGAAATTTTTCACAATATGCTACAGAAAGTGACTTGGACTTGGTATAGTATGAAAATCAAACATATTTCTGACTTTGTTCCAACAAAATAAGTCGGATCCATGTCGTAATGGATATGCCCTACCCCTAATAGCCCGATTTGCTAAAACTGCAAAATGATGGATCATGGATTGGCATTAATTAAATGGCAATCTCCTATTGGTCCACCATCGCATACTGAGGGCAAAAAAATGTTTGTCGGAATTGTGATCATATTCAACCATAGTTAGAGTTGAGCTCTACTGACTCATGTCTCACAATGAATATGATGCTGACTACCTGCTCACCACGCAGCGTGCGTATCTATCACTGGTTGATGATGTGTTGGCTGGTGCAATCGCCATTGTGAACCAATATGCAGCGCGTTGTGACCTATTGCCGACTGTTACCTACACAAGCAATAGTTTAACTAAGCGCATGAACAGTCATGTTGTTACACAGCATTCGCTGAGAGTATTCACATTGACACGCAAGCTTTTATGTCGTAGAACGCGATTCCGCCGTACCACAGTATGGCCGTGCAAGCCAGCATGTCAACTGTCGTCCTATTAGATCATGACCATCACGTAGACGATGGATCGGGCTTTGACAACCGACGAGTGAAGATGGTGTTAGAGATGGTCGAAAAAGGTTCGACGATGCCTCATCTGAGACGTCACGACGATAGCTTAATCAAGAGAGCATAATGAGAGCGACATCGAGTCGAATTGGTCCGGCATTGCGCGATCAATCACATCGAGATGGCTGTATATAGTCTTGACCAGCTGAGGCTCAGGAGAAGCTTGCAGTCGACGATCAAATATGGTGGCGCAAGTCGCTGAGATCTAAACGAGACGGGGGCTGACAGTTTGCATCACGGCTGATCCGACATTATGTATGTACGTTATTGACAACCAACAGGTCGCCAGCATAAGATACGTAGAGGCTGTAGCGGCCATGTGAGAAAGTCGGTGCATCTATCAAACAACATGTGTTCGCACACTCGCCTTCTTTAACGGATATGATATTGACAAAACGAAGGGATGTCATTGTGCACTCGGGCAGACAAACGCGCACCACTGCCTCTCATCAGTCACGTCGTTTGATCTGGTGTGGCGTACGCCATCGACATTTCCCTCTCAATAATGACCGTGGTCAATGTCAGTGTCGCCGTCCTCGGCCCCGTCGACAGCGGTCGACGAGTCTCGAGCGGGCGCTGAGCACGTGCGTTTCCACTGCTGTGCTGGACAAGAGTCCGCAAAGGCAGCGCCGCGGCATCACGCTGGACTTGGGCTTCTCGAGCGTCATTCTCGACGCCACGGGACAAGGACCATCACTCGAAACTGACGCTCGTGGACTGTCCCGGTCACGCATCGTTGTTCCAATCGGTTTTGGGAGGTGTAGCCATCATGTACACCGTCGTGCTGGTTGTTGACTGCCGCAAAGGGCTCAAGGCCCAGACGGTCGAGAGTCTGGTGCTCGCGTCGCTCCTGTCGCAGTGGAACGTGAATGCAGCGCTGACCAAGACGGACCTCCTGTCTCCATCGATGTGGAAAGGTCAGCTGCGATTGAAGCGGTGACGCGCGAGATACAGACGTTCATTGCCACACACTTTGTGGCGCTCAAGGACGCGGCGGTTCCAGTCGTGTCTGTGGCCGTGGGGCTTAACCGCAACTTGCAAGGTATTGTGCATCGCATGGGCGTGCTGCGTACCCATTTGAGGGTGCCAGAACGTGATGCTCGAGGAGATTTTCGTCTTGCAGTGGACCACTGCTTTGCTGTACCAGGACAGGGCACAGTGCTCACTGGAACATTGCTGTTTGGCGCGCTATCGCGAGGAAGTGAGCTGAAACTGCTGGCCATTGGAGTCAAAACTTGCGAAAAGACGACAGGTGTTTTGACAAGGCGTCGAGAGCCGCAGACAGGGCGATCGAGTTGGGCTGCGCGTGACGGAATCGGTCCGGCACTGGTGAAACGAGCGGTGGCAGTGTCGCCGCCGCGGATCTTGACTGCTGTGATGCAGGTGGTCATTGCGGTGGCGCTTGTACCGCTCTTCCAAGGCATAGTGTGCAATAATGGAGCCAAGCGTCATTCTACGGTGGGACATACGACTGTGATAGCGACGGCGACATTCTTTGCCCGATTGGGAGGAACAGAAGACGATGCTGGACATATGTTGAAAGAGAAGTTTGATCCGTTGGTGATGTACGAGCACGTGCCAGATCTTGGTTTCAAATACAGCAATCGTGACGGCAAGGATAGCAATGACGCAGCTGTAATTTTTGCGCTGCTTCAATCCGAACATGCTGTCTTTTGTCCACCGGTGGCGCTTGTCGTGTGCTCACGTCTCAATCTGGATGCGAGACGCTTTTCGTGTCGTCTGGCTTTCTATGGCGCTGTCGACATGGTTGCGGGGTCAAGTAGCAAGGAACTGAGCACGCTGTCACCTATTCACCGCTGAGCTGTGAGCCTGGCTGACATGCGAATCGGCCGGGTGGAAAGTCGAGATGGCTATGTGGATAGAGTGGTCGCTTTAAGAAGCGATGGCAATGCAGACAGAAGTGAGATAATTGGTCGTGACACGTTCTCGAAACGTGTAAAGTGGAGCGTTTACCAGGGCTCGGCGGTGTTGTTTGAGAAAGCACGAATGTCGGGAGTTATGCTTAGGCCTTTTGGTACGTCCGGCAAGTTTTACATCGCGTTGGTACCAAGTAGCGTGACGTCAAATGTGCTCCAACATGGGGTCTCGGCTTCAGGAGAGAAGCTTGTGTTGCGCTTCTTGAAGTTGATCACGTTGAAGGCACCAAAG